TTTTTATTTTTTTTTATTTGTAGACTGAAATTATTGTAGACTAAACGTTAAATGAATGTCGGACCGTCGTCTTACTTTTTCAAACTCGTGTCTTAAATCAAATAAAGGGTACCCGCTGTATCGTAAAAAACAAATTTATACATACAAATTTTACAAGCTCATTTCGCATCACATTTTCTTTATATTCGCACACTGGCATTCTTAAAGTAATGCATCCAAATTGGGACTTGATAAGAAATTTAAAATAAATAGAAAGTTCTCTGTATAAAATACGAGTTTGAGGGAGTAAGGCATCGAAATATCAATTTTCTGGGTGCGTTCGAAATTACTAGTTATTTAAATTATTATATAACTTTGAAAATTGGAATTTGGGAGTTGAATAAAGCTCTTAAATATTCCTGGCCGGAGCCAATTTGTCGCTTCGGAGAAGAGTAAAAGGAGTGGTACGAAAAGGGTAGTCGACGTATGCGAGGCGTGAGCTGCGTGGACGTGTTGTGTGTCGGGAGCGGTTGCGAGTGCGATTCGCGAGGACAGCGAAGGAGGCCGGGAAGAGAGGGACGAGCTGAGCAGCCGCTCCTGCCGCAGGCTCGCGCTACGTGTCGTGGCTGCCGAGCTTCAGCGTGGAGGTGACGCGCGTGCGCGCGCCGGCGCGGCCGCCGCTCGACGCCATGGCGCGCCAGCTGCAGGCGCTGTTCCCGCAGTACCCGCTGGGCGCGCTGCTGCAGGACCTGGCCGACACGCGCTCGCCCGACCTCACGGCCGACAACATCCTGGAGGGCCGCCTGCCGCTGCCCGCCGCGCCCCCCGCGCCCCCCGCCGCAGGTTCGCTTCACGCTTTGTGCCAAACGGGCAGGACGCCACATTCGCGCAATGTCACGCTCTCAAAATGCCAATGTACGAAACCACCAGTTATTTATAGTTACAGGAATAGTACATTTTGTTTTTAATAAAACGTCGAACCCCCCCGCTTCATTATCACCATTATTTCAGCCGAATGACGTCCACTACTGGACATTCTGGCAGTCACATTGGCATCTGACATTCTGAGAATCTGGCATTCTGCGTATCTGGCATCTTATGTTATCTTTATTTTGTGGGATAGAAGACTCCCGTCTTCACGTAAATAAAGCTGTACTAGTATTAAAACAAGCCTTAATAAAGGAATCTAAATTATACAATCTTCATAAGCTATATATACATTAGAATATTAGAACCTGATGTGTAATTGCGATGCCTACACTAAGTAAATGTGTACCTGTATTTTAGGAATGTTTTTGGACAAATATCTTTATACTAGAGCTCAAAAAGAGGTTTTTTTATATTCAACAATAAAATAACTAATAGTTATAAATTAATGGTTACCTATATAAAAATAATTATATTACGGTTCCTCGATAGACCGACTTAACTTTTCAAACATTCTTTCCAAATATCCGCTCGGCACTCGATACCGAGGCCGCATTCGCCACCGCGACGTTTGCGACGGTGGACAGACAGGCACGTTTACATGTCGGCGCTTGATACCTTTGCGGATGGAATAACCTCCTCAATGCAGCAAGAGAGACGGTTGCAGAAGCGACGCCTGCGCAGCGTTCGGCGCCCGGCCCGCACGCGACCACAGACGCCCGCGGCGCGCAACATTTTCGCCTCCACCAGGACTACCACGTTCACGACCACGCGGACGACCACGACGGCGACGACGATCGCGACCGCGACCACGGCAACGACTCGCACGAGTGAGTGACCGTCGAATTAGTAGTGAAATGAACGTTTTGAAATAGAATCCAATAGTAGTTTATATGACTGATGAAAGGCATTGAAATACGAGAGTGGGTTTATGAAACGAGCCGAAAGGAGAGTGTCATAAAAACATCTCACGAGTGTTTTAATGCCTAATTATGTACAGTTACATACACTGCTTTATCTACACACATATTATAAGCTCTGTGATGTGTTCAACAACCGCATATTACGACTGGCGAAATGGCGACAAACGAAAACGTTTCTCGCGCATGTCACGCAACCGTAGTTTTTATTTTTAATTCATAGACAAACTAGAATCGACCCCAACTATCATATCGGTCGATATCAAGTAACGTGTGAAATTGTCAAAATTGTCTGCTATTGACTTAGAGGATGGAAAAAAATAAAAGAAAGGAGCTGCCCTAAGTACAGAATCAACGTGCATATTACCAAAATTTGAAAGTTACAAATGGCGGATTTCTTTAGTGTTGTACCATAATCTATCGATAAGTCATTATCGACATGCAAATGTATGGCTTGAATTTTTGTTTCTTTAGTTTACTGTAACCAAAGTATGCCTAAACAAACACAAGTCTGATAATTTAATCTCGAGTGGTATATTATTATAAATGTCAACACACATTTTTAAACTTCAAAAAATAATTCTTTTCAACATTACAACTGGGAACTTATTTAGTAAAAGTCACCAAACTGCTGTGCAGTTTGTTGGCGACATGCGCATTCTTGCTTAATTATACCTACTTTACTTGTATTTAACATTACGTAGTATTAATTGTACTTACTAAATAAAATATAAAAATTACTTTAAGAGGTACGCCTTTAACCTACATTTTAGTACATATTTACATAACGTCTTTTAACTAACCGTCAAGTACAAGTCTATTCAGGTTTCTGCGGATTCTAGTATTCCCGTTAATTCCCGGGCTTTCTTAAGCAAATGAATCTATCAAGCAATTTTAACACAGAAATAATGGAAGTAGTTGTAAAAATCAATTATCGGAAATCAACAATTATCATGTACTAGCTTTTCCCCACGATAAAATCCCCGCAATAAAGTTGCAAAAAACAAATGACAAAAACGAACGTGGTGGATGCTGATTATTCCAGAAACAGAACAACATGACATTTTGTTGATATATAATATATACTTCTTTATTTTGTGTTTTGATTTTTTTTTTGAATAGAGTTATAAAACCAGTATGCATTTCATATGCGGACGGACTAACGTGTGAACGCTATTGGTCGAGCGCCTTTGGTTTGTGATAAGCCGAATGAACTCTATACACGTTGGCGCTCGCCTTCACTCGGTCAGCTAGGCGAGTGACACCGAACAAGGCAAGGCAAGGCAAATAGGCTGTCTATACGTTGGTATGTTGTCATTGTATTGCAGGCTTTAAAAAAAATAGTCATTTTTAATAGTTAGAGTTGTCATTGGGAAAAATCAGAAACGAGTGGATAATTTTGTTTTCAGGAACTGAGAATAGCTAGTAAATGAGTCTTGTTTAATCTAAATTGAACATAAAATTATTTACCAATAAACCTAATGATGGAATAGCATTGTCATGTAATCTAGTTACATTTAAAGTTCTGTTAAAATTTGACTCTTCAAAATGAAGCGAACAAATGAAGATGGTCTTTGATCCAACGTTTATATTCGGCAGTCCTATGATTTCCAACCATTCTTTCTTCCTTTTTTCATTTGTAGGAAAACTTGAAATAATAATAATAAAACAATAAAAACCTCATAGTGAATTATTTTAATAACAGAATATCGATAATATGTATGCTTACAAGATCAACACTATCTCAAAATAATCGTTAACAACAATCATCAAAATATACAAACAAACAGGCAATCTAAAGTAACAAAAGCAAAATTTGGCAAGATTTATAAATAAACTACTTAAATAAGTCTAATTATATAAAATATTCGGGCTATTGTGTGATTTATAGACAAAAAAATAACACATGCCTGTGCAATGTAACATTCGATTGATTTGCAGTTTTTCTAAAGCCGCATCCTTTAATGCTGCAGCGTCGCATTTTTATTAATACCTAATTATTCTCACTGTCAATATTTTTGTCCAATTTAATTATAATACATGTGAATAATTCAATAATACATTTGGAAAACATTTGTTTTGACATTTGATGTACTTCCCTTTGACAACGGTATCATGTGCCTCATGTACTTGAAATGGCCACGGTTGGCATTTAAAATGACGTTACGAATTTTCGATTCCCGTGTTTGACACAGACCAATGTAATGCTATCTCTTTTGGCTTAAGACGGCACGTAATAGTTAAACAAAGACAATAATATGTTTATGTTTTCGAAGTCGAAATGCATCATATACATATAACGTCTGATTTATATATATCAACGTAACATGTCCTTTAGTTTCCATAGTCTAAGGCTATTGACATTGACTTATTGATATTGACATTGACATATTTTAATTTCATTTCATTTCAAATAAAACTTCATCTCGACTGATATTAGAATTGAGGTCCAAATCAAATTGTTTTGTTTTCCAGAGATGTTCGAAATTTGAATGTAATAATATCATCGAATTCTATGTTAATATGACGCAATAACATTTTTACAGATAAGAAATTTGTTGTAACATAATCTCAGTACAGAGTACTAAAAAAGTGAAATTACGTCTATTTGCTAAGTTTTATTAAAATATCTTTAAATTCGCCACTATATAGGAGTTGACCCTGGAGATAATAAATATCAGTTCTCACTAAAAGAATATTGAGAGAAAAACGCCTTAAATTGGAGAACAAAATCAACGATTAAAATAATTGCTCCTTAAGAAAATTTAGGCGTGTAGGGTATTCGTACATACATACATGCATGCATACACACAACATACCCATGCCTGTAAAATTTTCTGTATCATTAGATCCCAGATTTTTTGTTTTTGATGTAGAGTATTCGTACATACAGGCGCTATTTATAAAAATGAATCTTCATGCGTGAACAGCCACACTTAGAGGTGGATGATTTCCTTCAAAATGAAATAGGACCACTATGGAAGTACCCCCTTTCCAACGAAAAAGAATCATGAAAATCGGTTCACAAATACCGGAGTTATCGCGTAACATACATACAAAAAAAAAAGAAAAAAAACATACAATCGAATTGAGAACCTCCTTTTTTGAAGTCTGTTAAAATAGTTTACCTTTGTGCTGGTCGTCATTTGCGGTTTTTGAACACATTATAGAGAGTTTCTGATACGTGAGTAGGTAAAGTTTATGAAGGAACCCCCACCCGTGTTCGGCGTTTCTCGACAGCTCCCCCTCGTTCTCCGCGGACGCGCAGCTGCGCGAGCGCGCGCTGCGCCGGCGCAAGGAGGCGCTGCTGGCGGCGGCGCGGCGCCGGTTCCTGGCGCGCGGCGCCGGCCCGCCGCCCTCGCCCTCCACCAGCCGCGCCGCGCCCAGTTGACTGCCCCCCGCCCCCGCCCCCGCCCCCGCCACAGTGACCCGAGGCGCGTCAGGGTCGCGACGACGGGCGGGCGTCGCTCCGTCCTCCGCTGGCTAAAAGGAAATCAAATTACGAGTACTTCGACGCGCTCGGCTCCCGCCGAACAGGACTACGATCTTCTACGCTATGAAGTACGCGTCGCGGTGCCTGTGCGCTAAATTAAAAATGTAAACGGTCCCGAGTGCCGGACGGTCCGGAGTGCACATTTGGAGATACGGACGAGACGGTTGACGTGAATCTGAATTGTTTCGCAGTACGCACGAATCTAAAACTGTTCCGTTTATTACGTGAAATGTGAATAAGTTAAGTATTTTTTAAAGATTTTTTTACAATGCTTTACGTAAAACGAAATGGTTAACAAGGAGATAAAGCGTAATTGTCGCGTAGTTTAAACGGAAAGATCGGGTGTACACTGCGCCGGCGCAGGGCGCGACATCGGGTAAGATTTAGTGGCCCGCACTTAGACGGTGTACTTAATAGACAAAATTTAACATTGTTTCGTGATGGCGACCATTCAGATTTGTAAATAGTTTGTACTATTTCCAATGAGGGAACTTCTGCAAGAAATTTTCTCTTAACTCTATCTAATAGCTCCAATCGCCATTCTCATTTCTTACAATTTTTTTTTGTTTGAAGTATTATTAAACTAAAAGAATAGCCCACAATTTATTATATTCACACTTGTGATATTTTTATTACTACTTTAATTGTATGACTTGTATAGATAGACAATGCTAGCCCTTAGTAGAGACAATATCACGTTTCACGCTCAGCACAGCTTCACAAGAGACGTATAGGCGTCGTGCCGTCGTGGCGTTGGGCGAACACTCACAGAGCACCTTATTTTTTGTACTTCGACTTGAGGAATATATTTTTTTATTCAATTATAAAAACGTTTAAAAAGTATTATCCAGACATAGTTACGACAAGTAATTATCGTGTTTGCTAATTATAACTGTAATTAGCAAACGGTACACATAAACGTAAACAAGTAAACGGTACACATAAATAAATAGTGTTTGTATCTAACACTATTTATTGATGTGTACCGTTTAGATTGAACAACTTGTAATAGTAGCAAAGCCGCCGCAGCAACGATGTTGCCAGAGGAGTGAATTCCTCTCGCGTAGCTTTGCAGCAAAATATCGATGGCGACTTTAGAAGTGTTTGTACATCTTTACATTGGGGTCCTCTTACACGCAAATTATTGTCCATTATGTAGAAGCACTCCCCGCAATGAGGGAACGGAATGGAAGGGCACGGAAGTTTGCGACGGATCAGAATCAAACTATGGAATCGCGCAAATGCGTTCCACAATGAGCTAGTGCGGCGAGACAGCGTCTACGAAAGTAGTCGTCAACCGCGCCCACGCTCTAATTATGTATGGGGCCTAAGTTTTCTCAAGATGTACTTATGTTTGCTAAATAATGGCCAATTTACTTCAGGCTTAGGTGGCTGCCGCTGTTGTAATAATGAGGTACTTAAAACATCATTGAAAAATATTGCAATGTTATAAATGTAGGAATAATGTTGTTACTCCTTCAATAATGATTTTTAAATAAATTCATAACTAGTCAAAATAAAAAAAACAATATAAATACAATTAGTTTATTATTTCTCCCTATGTAAATAGCAATCATCCTCAAAACGACCATTTATTTATTTCATGAACATTATCTGATTTATTGTGACAATAGCATATTTTAGCAGTTGCAAAATTAAATTCATCCACAACACAGTGAATTAATAACAAGACAGACCAGAATTGAACCATACAATTTATTTCTTAAAAATGAAGAGAATACAATTAATTTATCCTATGAAGTTAATAACGACGATGTGTAGCACGAGGTGTGCAAATATGAAATCTGCGAAGCCACGCTCCGCACTGATGCCCTGGAATTCATTTTTGTTCTCAGGATTCACTTGCAGTCGTAGGCACACTGAAATAACCGGTAAAGCAATAAGAAACAGGTTTCTACGTAAATAATCAAATTATCCAAGGCAAATTTCCTTGAATAATATTCCATAAAGGTTATAGGTTATGTTTTTTCCAATAAATAAGAGAATCCGTAAATGATTACCTGCAAGTACGAATGAACTAACGGTGGAAATAAACCCGCTCAAGAAAGAATTGAATGGAAAAGTGCCGACAAGGCAGCAGTATGCGAACTGAATCACAGCAGTCAGGAAAATGTAAAGTAGGTACGCATCGATGATCTTCAGCTTCTTGGGAGTTTTAATGGTGTATTCTTGATATAATTTCGGAATTACAGCAGTTAGGGAAGTCATTTTGCTTAAATTAATTTGAAAATGCGTCCGCTTCGAAATCTTGAAATACACGTCAGCCGTAGGGCAGGATGCCGTAGCTGTCATGTCAACTGTCAAAACAAAACGGCTGTACTTTTTTAAATTAAGAGTTTTGGATTGGATACAAGTCCTTTGAGCCATGTCTTCGTTTAATTATTGGGATCCTCATTAAATATTTTCAATTGTGGATCTACAACATTATGTTTATACTTTCTCTTAATTATCTTAAGTATCTTGTTCGGGCTATCTAAATAGTATAACGCCGTAATAACCCGCACTCGAAGCAGTGTTGAGCGTTCATCAATTAAAATTCAATCAGGTTAAAAAATTAATTCAATTGCAAATAAAATCCTAATCGACACCAAACCTACCCCCTAACCCACCCCCATATATATAAATTTAACATAATTGTCTGTTTTAATTGTTAATCAAAAACATTGAAAAGATTGAAAATTGATTAATTGTTAATTGTAGATATATGCGATTAACGATTGCTTAATTGCGGTTTTCGCAACTAAGAATTGATCAATCATTAATTGCTGTTTGGCAATTGACAATTAATTAATTGTCAATCTTTAATTGCCAGAACAATTAAATTTTGCCCAACACTGACTCGAAGCGAGCAACTGTCGACATTTCTATAGTCGTGACTGTCGTTCCGGTTCCAAAAAATCACGGTGATAGATCACCGTGATTTTGTCACGACTGTTACTTCCGTGACCTTGTCACGCCTATAACTTACATAGCGATATACGGTTTTAGCCAGCGGCTTCTTTCTAATACTTCTAGCCGTTTTTTATAGATTGATTTAAGTTTTTACTCCCTTTATAATAAGTTTCAATTCCATTCAAAAAGTTGATTTTGTATTTAATGTAATTTTGTTTGTTACTTATTTAATGCGAATCTTTGGATTATTAAAAATAGCAATAAAGTGTAATGTTTTCTAGTAGAATACACAAAGTAGATCATACATAAATATAAAATACCAAGTCTTCCTATAATAAAAAAATATACAAAAATATTTTACTTTGTTAATAAATAGGTTTATAGTAGCTGCTGCAGATTTTTTTCATCCGCCCTTTCTAGTAGTAATAAGCACCTACGACCCTTGTGACTGAGCAAAGAAAGTCATCCTATCTCACTCACTCCCATCGCCGAAATAGCCCGATTTGAAGAGAACTACAACAAATGGCGCGCTCAGTCACCACGGAACGGAGATCGCACATTGTATCAAATACGTATGTCGTGTTGTGAGTGACGGGGATAGCTACTGGAACGGAGGAACACCTATGTGACTTTGGAATCACGGTGATACTGTTTGACGGCGGATCATTGTGATTTTTTCATCGTGACGTTATTTATTACCCACCTCTAGGCCGCCGTACATCACCGCTTCCTCGCCTCCCGCGTTTCGTACCAAAAGATAGCAGAGATCCGTTCGCGTCTCACGCGCCGCCGTGCTAGTTTTTTATTATAGACTGACTTGTAACAATAAAATTCGTGTAACAACGTCAACATTTCTGTATGGGCTTTGACGTCTTGATTGTAGGTAGTTAAGTTAGTTGTAGTTTGTAGTTAGTTAAGTTATAGAGTTGACGTACAATCGTAAAGTTTATTTTTGTTTAAATACAAGTTATTATATGGATGCTTATGTGACCGATTGCGACAGAGTTATTAAATCAACAAAACTGTAATAAAAAGTGAATCAGTCGATTCACGTAAAGTAGGGCGCAAACTCAGCGTCTAAATCTTGTACGTGACCCGTACAATTTCAGTGATTAAAGTGTTTTTAACATGATTGAAGTTTTACAATGGTCTTTTATGCGGCGGGAGTCACTTTCACTTAAATCGCATAATCTTCACTGTTCAAGTTACTATAAATAATTAAGTCATCGAAGTATACAGATATATGAGAAATAGAGATAGATACAGTCCATAGAAAATTTATAAGTCAGTTGAGAGTAAAGGAGGATGCATACAAAACCTTAGAGGATAGAAAAAAATAGTCTTAGTACAGACGCCAGCACATCAAGCTACACATTGGCGTATCTTATTCCGTCACATTGGAAGCGATTTTCGAAAAAAAGAATTTGTAGTCTGATGTGCCGTCCGTACAAAACACACGTTTGTGTTTGTAATCCCTTCAAACTGAAGTCACCACAGATATATGTCTAGTTAGACGTCGCATAGTCATGAAAGACACTCAGTCTTTTAAAGCGTTTTATAACGACTCGACCCCATTTTACAGTGCTCGACCTTAAAATTAAGACTAGGGGTTCCAGTTTTTATTAATAACATTCAATCGTTATACCAAAAGACTCAAAAGACTTAAACGACTCGAGCTGTTTGCAAAGGATTTATACCTATTTTATGTCTTATTAAACCCGAAGTTATAAATAAAAATGACGTAAACAGTATGTAGTAAATAATCACGTTTATTTACTTATAATAAAAATCGTAAAATAAATACCTTGTGGGTAGAATAAAAGCACGCCATACGGCTCATAACTCGCGACTCCAGAGGCTATGAGGCGCCAATCGTTTAAGTCGTTTTAGTTTTTTTAGTCGTTATAATATGTATAAGTAATAAGTCTTTTAAGCTTCCTAGGGTTAAAAGACTTCGACTCGAATTAGTCTTCAGTTTTAGTCTTATGACTCAAGACTTGAGGGTTAAGAGACTAGACTAGTCGTGAGGCGTTGAAAATTAGGCGAGGTTTTTTAAAAGGCCGACGACGAGGCCGAAGCTGTCTTCGACTGACGGGGAAAAGACTGTTCTTTTCATCACTAACGCCGCAAGTACAGCAATTTGTATGAAAACCAAGCGTGCCTAGAGATGGGTCATGGATAAATATCATTGGGGATAAATACTCAGTAGAAAGATAAATATGGATAAATATCCATATTTATCCATTTTTACTCGATATTTATCCAAAAATGTGGATAAATATTTTTTTTTATCGTGGTTTATTATTTATATAGTAAAACAAAGTATATTTTTTTAAGCTTAAATTAATAAACCTTCAAATCCTTAATAAAGGTACAGTACCAACCTTCATAAATAAAAGATGCAGGACGATTATAGACCTAACCCTAGCGTCGGAAGGACCTGTAAATCTTGTCCAAGACTGCTACGTGTCCGAAGAAGCGTCCTTCTCGGACCACAGATGGATAAGATTCAGCTTAGAAACAACCACCAAAGAACAACAACCGAAACGGAATCCCCGAAAAACCGAACGTAAATTGCGGCAAGGCCAACACTGGTGGGGGCCTGAGCTTAAGAGACTACGAAGAAGGGTAAGGAGACGCTTCAATAGAGAAATGAACACATGCGCGGATGAGAACTGGGAAAACTACAAGACGGCCAAATCCAAGCTAAAAAAGCGCATACGGTTCAGGAGCACCGCGTCATGGAGAGGCTACTGCGGGAACATCACGTCATGTGCACAAGCAAACAGAATAAGGAAAGTCCTCGGCAACTCAAATTCAACTGAGCTAGGGTCAATACGCAAAATAGACAACACATACACAACTTCCCCTGCGGACACGGAGAGAACCCTACTGGAAGCAAATTTCCCGGGATGTGGGTTCGTCCAAGACGAAAGGTGCGAAAAAATGAACTACAACACATCGCTCCATAACTGGCGATACGCTGAACAAGTAGTAACATACGAAAAGACAAAGTGAGCAGTAAACACCTTTGAACCGTACAAAGCTCCGGGCCAAGATGGCGTATTCCCCGCACTCCTACAATAGGGGCGGGGACACACTAGTCCAGCACCTGGTCAACATCTTTCAGGCCTGTCTAGCATTCAGCTGGCGACAGGTAAAAGTGATATTTATACCAAACCAGGTAAAAACGACTATACTGACGCGATGTCCTTCAGACCAATCAGCCTCCCATCGTTCTTCTTGAAGATATAAGAATGGTTATGTGACAGAGAACTGAGGGATGGAGCGCTTAAGAACATACCACTACACGGAAACCAACATGCATACAGTCAAAGCAAATCCACTAAATCGGCCCTACATGCCGTTGTGGGCAAGATAGAAGAGGCCCTCAAAGGCAAAGCAATCTGCCTAGGCACCTTTATCGATATTGAAGGAGCCTTCGATAAAACCAACTTCTCCAGCATACAATCAGCACTGAGAAGACACGAAGTGGATGAAGTGCTCATCAGCTGGATTAGCAACATGCTAAAACTAAGAACAATAAAAACAACAGCAAATGAGACCCCATGGGCCATAGTAGCGAAGGGAGGGGTACTGTCGCCTCTGCTGTGGAACATGGTCGTAAATGACCTCATCATTAAACTGAACAAAGAACATTTCTATACAGTAGGATATGCTGATGACATAGCTATACTGGTACGAAAATTATGCCAATATAGTCTGCGACATTACACAAGCTGCACTCCGGATTGTGGAAAGATGGTGCAGGGCATATGAACTATCGGTGAACCCAACAAAGGCGGAACTAGTAATGTTTACAAACAAAACTCTTCAGTACAGAACTACAGATATCAACCGAAGTCAAGTACTTGGGAGTAATACTGGACAACAAGTTGAATTGGAACAAGCATCTGGACAACAAAATTAAAAAAGCTACTATCACCTTCTGGCAGTGCCATAGAATGGTAGGTAAACAATGGGGACTTTCACCCAAGATAACACTATGGCTCTACACAGCGGTGACAAGACTCATGATCAGTTACGGCGCGATAGTATGGTGGCCACGAACCAAACTGACGACCGCAACCGACAAGCTGGACAAATTCCAAAGATTCGCTTGCATGGCGACGACCGGCTGCAAGAGGACAACTCCGACTGCCCTCGAAGCGATCCTGGAGTTTCAGGAAATGAAAACGCAGATTACTTGGCGAAGATTATCGTTGACAGCGACAATGGCAGCCCTGGCCCTATTAACGATGTTGCCATACCTTTGACAGATTTAGTTCCTATTTAAAAAAAACGGTTATTAGAGCAGTGGAATGAAGACTGGCAAATCACCCTGGCAAGAAAAGGTACTTGGTACGCCTCCATTAATCGTGTTATTGGAAGAAATCCCTGGTTCAATAATTACTGTCCAAGAGAAAGAAATTTTTTTACTACACTATCGAGATTGAGAATGGGACACGCACGATTCAATGCTCATCTCCATCGCATGCGTATTATTGATTCTCCAATATGTACCTACTGCAATAATGCTGATCAAACTTTGGACCATATATTTTTAAACTGTATATCCTTCAATTTACTACGCCTTAGCCTCATTGATGACCTGCTGGAAGTATATAGCAAACCCGAGGATATCCCGCGCTCAACAGCAGACCTATTAAAAAACATAGAAGCTTATCCTGTCCTATACAAATATCATCTACCCTTCATGACTTATGAAATAAATTGAAAGAAATAAACTACAGAACAGGCGCTGGTCGCCTTTGCCATTAGATCAATGAAAGATAAAATTTTTATGAAGAGGCTGTATGGTAAAAACTTTGCCTACCCAAATGGGTGAAAATTAAAAAAAAAAGAAAAAATGACAATGACGCACAGCACCCAGTACGATTTTGTGCATGTCATTCGATTATTTCAATAATAGAGGCACAAAATAGAAATTGTTAGAAGAAAATGATGGGTCTTACAAGTAAATTCCCTGAATATGCAGTTCCTGGCGCGAAGCAAGTTGGTTTTGAGCCATACGCTGATAATGGAGGCAGCGTTGTGGCTATTGCCGGCGAAGACTACGCTGTGATCGGAGCCGATACTCGTCTTAGTACTGGTTTTTCCATCTACACGAGAGAGCAAAAGAAGTTGTTTAAGCTGTCGGACTCCACGGTACTCGGCGCGACTGGCTGCTGGTGCGACACGCTGACTCTCACACGGCTCCTGCAGGCGCGCATGCAAATGTACGAGCACGAGCACAATAAGCCGATGTCGACGCCCGCCGTCGCTCAGATGCTATCTACTATGCTGTACTACAAACGTTTCTTCCCTTATTACGTGTCCAACATTCTCGCAGGATTAGATTCGGAAGGTAAGGGCTGTGTCTATTCGTATGATCCCATTGGGCACTGTGAACGCTCCAACTACCGAGCCGGAGGGTCGGCCGGCGCGCAGTTGCAGCCACTACTCGATAATCAAATTGGACTGAAGAACATGCAGAATGTTGTGGAGGCTCCTCTGCCCAAGGATAAAGCTTTAGCCCTTCTCAAAGATGTTTTCATAAGCGCTGCAGAAAGAGACATTTACACAGGTGACTGCATTTATATACTCATGATCACAGCTAATGGCACCCAGGAAGAGAAGTTTGAACTCCGTAAGGATTAGAGTTATAAATTGTAATATGGTAATAAAATTTTTGTAACTAAATATTGATTCTTCATTTGCTCTACCTTTTCTTTCTCATAGAAATAAAAAACAATGGAAACATTTAACTCAATTTAATATTTAAAATAATTATAAGGTAACTCTACATACATATACATACAAAACAACTTACACTTTGTTCAAATTATTTACAATATTCATTGCAAATCCAAATGGAATAGATACCTGTAATAATGTAGTTTATTTATTGTACTTCGGCATAACAAATATATTTTGAGGAAATACTTTTTCAAACATTTCTGTAACAACATCTTGACATGAAGCATCACCTAGCACTGTGGCTTTTAATCTAGGGGGAGTGGTGTTGCCAGCGGTAAGCGGGTGAATATTATAGCAGAGCTGCACTTTGTCCCTTGGAGGGACTGTGACTGACAACTTCTTATAGCCTGAAAACATGTAAGCATCAGTGCCTTCCACAGTGAGGCTAAGTCTAACAGGTGTGTTGGATTTACCAATTAAAGTGCACTTAAGAGGAACTGATGTAAGCTGTTGAACTACTTCTGGATAATTGACTTCAATAGCTATTGGACACTCATCTATGAGCAGACCAGAAAGAGGAGTGCTACTCATCACACAATGCCTTTCTGGATTGCTCTTTCTTCTCCATGTAATATTGTACAAGCCAACTCTTGTTGGGGTATCTTTTGGTTTGTACTTGGCCTGTATGCAGATAGCATCTGAAGCTATATTTTTTTCAGCAACATCCACATTTTTTATGCATGATGGTGGTTTCTCATTGTCACCATATTTGAAGCAGTCCATCACCTCCAACTCTGTATTTACTATCAGCAACTCCCAGGGGCTTAAGATTTTCATTTGAGGCATTACAATAAATGGGTCATCAACAAAACACTTTGATGTTGGCCTAAAATTCATAGACACAAAATTTGTTGTAACCTCAAATGGCTTTATCACTGTTATTTTTGTTGTGAAATCTTTTGCACATTCCAACTTTAAAATTTCCGGCAGGTCTATTATGTAAGATACTTTAATTTGAACCGTGGTGGTTGCTGTTCTGTTGGTCTTCAAATAGAAAGTTGTCCAGTGATTGGAAGATTTCTTAATACTGCCTACTGGTATTCTTAATGGTTGGCTCTGAGCTTCACCCTCTTGTAGACTGAGTTCAGTGACGGTCTCTGGATTTGGGTTATCAGGAGAGCTCAGTAGAGACAGGGCAAGTTTCACATCATACACAGAGCTTTCTTCGTTGTTAGTAATAGTAAATGTTGTTGGAAACCATTCCCCCTGAAGTGCAGGACTGCTGTTTGAAACTTCTATAGACAGCCTACACTCTCTTGCTGTAATTGAGGCTGTGGTCAAGGGCACAATACAATCAAACTCATAGTCAGCTTTAGGACTCAGGATGAAATGTAGCAGCTCTGGATGTGTGACCGACTCTGATGTTTTATTGTCTTCCAATTTGAAATTCATTATAATCTTTCTCTTCCTATCTGAACTTAACACAAACGAGACATTCTTGATATGTAAATCAGACCCACTATCTAGAGGATTTGATTTAAATTGACACAAAAATTTTTTCACTTTCCCACCTTCAAGTAAAATTGTGTTGTTGGTGTTATCTGATACTGGGATATCAATAGTTTCAGTATGACTAGAAACAGTCATGAACGCATTCTTTACCTCAAGTGTTGTTGCATATGTTAGTCTGACATATATATCTACTTCTATGATTTCATCCATTCTATACTTTGACTGCCTGAACTTTGGCTTCACCTCCACAAAGCTGGAAATGTTAGCCATATCCACAGGTACTGTGAGTGGTTCCTTCTCCACTGCAACTTGCCACAATTCCAGTGCTTTGTTATGTGAGGAGATCGGCAAGTCTGGCTCCGGGGAGGGGACGCTCATGTTCAAAACTGACATTATATTTTCGTATATCCGCTCCTTATCATTGTTTGGCACTTGTATATTTTTTGACAGTGCTTCTATTGATAGTTGAATATAATCTTGAATTTTAGCTGACAGATAGGCACATTGCAATGCTCGATTAAGAACATGTGATGCAAGGAACCACCATTTTTCCCTTCTGTAATCCCACAACATATGGGTAAGCAATGTGAGAGCTTTTCCATAGTCAGCACAATAAAAATACTCATTGGCCATTTCCACCACAAGCTGCTTCCTCATTCTAGGTGAGTGGAATGTTTTAAATTGGGAAATAGCACAGCCAAGGAAACTCACTATCATTGCGGAGTGATTGAAAGTCCTCTCATTATACTGGAGTGCTAATACTGCAGCCTGTTCCTTCTGAGGATCATGTGGATCAGCACTGAGCCGACCCGGGCGCCATGGCCTCTGACCATAATACTCAATTATTCCCTCCAATGGGTCTGGTGGTGGTGGATATTGAAGAGCTTCACCACACACTGATCGCATGGCCTGCCTTCTTTTTGCTGTGAATTGGGCTGCATGCTGATAGTAGAAGCCAGGATGTTGTGATTGTATAGCTGGAAGCCCTGCACGAATTGCCTCATCAAACAGTTCTCCAAAGGCACTATATTGTCTAGCAATCCAAGCATAGTGCTCAAACAGCAGCTCGGTAGGTCCTACTCTATTCTTGTATCTCTCTATGTGAGACTTCAGTTGAGCAATGGCATCTCTAGGCAAGTTTAAAGCAAACAACAGCTTGCACAGTTTATAGTTGATGAATCCAGCTACTGTCCTCACTTCATGTAAATTGGTATCTACAGTTCTAGTCTCCAGCAAGTTGTTGTAAGCATGCATGTAGTGCTTGTGAGCAGTGCTCAAGTCCTGCTTCAGCTCATTTAAGTAGCCCAGCTTAAATTGGTGTCTAACAAATAGATACTGGTGTGTAGTCTTATTTAGATGATCTCTGTGTTGCTTTATGTTCTTGGTCTCATGGTGGTAGTAGTTCTGTGCTATATCGTAAAATGCATTCTCCAACCTCGCTATGTAGCCCATTAAATGGTCACTGTGTGGAAGTACAAATAGGGATTTTGATTGTATCTCACAAGCAGCACATAATGCTTGCGCTCTCTCTGCTCCTAACATATACTCGGAGGGAGGAGGGGACAATCCACTCTGCACCACTACCACAGCGACGCGAGTAGCATGGCCCTCTATCGCCGCCCGAATAGACTGAACTCTAGAGGCACATTCAATAATCTTTTCATTCCACTGTGGGTCATTCCATTCCATGTCGTAGAATATAACGACTAAGGCAGGGATCAGCGTGACTCGCTTTTGAATCCAATTTTTCTTTAATATCCCTTTGGGAATGTACCATTCGTATGAGTTCCTTTTGGGTTTGACGACAGGGAACTCGAATGTGTTGGGCAGCAGCTTAAAACGCACAGGTGCGCGATCCGCGCGGCGATTGTTGGAGAAAGCGTCCCATATCGCGCGGTGCACAGCGTTGTTCACGGTGTCAAGCCCCGAGAGCGCTACCAGCGCTTGGGGCTTCAATATCACCTCAGGGGGAAACTCCGTGTAATCGCTCGGCTGCGTCGCCATATTTCCTGCGGCATCAACCAAGTAACCGACTCCACGTCACATAAGCCACACTGATGCCACTATTTCATATTTGGACACTACACGGAACTGGGGAAGTATTCTTCTGCACTACAATCTATAATACTCTCGACACCCCCATCATTCGTCAACTCAACCATCAAAATATCAAATCAAATTGACTCGTACGTTTCTTTCATCGTACCTATGTTCGTTGGAATTTTGCATTTTAATTTTAACAGAACTCGACAAAAATCAATTTCATTAGCTAAATCCTCAACAAATATTTATTGACGTCATTAATTACACGATACAACGATATACTAAGATATTAATCCAAAATACCCTGTGGATATGAAAAAGCAAGCTCAAAAAGTTAAAAAGATATGGCAAGCTCAAAATAAAACAAATTTTGAAAAAAGGAACGTTTTGACGCGTTGCAGTTTAAGTTTTTTTTTTATGGCTTCAAATCTTGAAAGAACAGTACTTGTCAATCAAATTCGTATGGCTTGACGCCAAAACCGTTAAAATTCTATTAAAAAAAAAAAGGAAAATGGGTTATGTTTTGTTTTGTATAACGAAGCCAAAACCTATAAAAGTAAAAAAATAATTGAATCGTATAATTCAGTGGCAAATTGTTTTGTTTTGTAATTATAATTTTGTGAATTAGAAAGTAAAAGCGGACATCATCATGACATCTCAAGCACTCGCTTCACTCACTGCAACATACACGGACTCCGAAGGTGAGGAATCTATCGAAGAACAACAATCTCCTGATAAAGACATGCTTACTGTAACGCTCTCAGCTCCTACAAGTCCTAAAAATACGGGCGAAAGTAGCAAGCCTGGCTCGGCGCCTGTCTCACCCAGGCCGCGACTTGTTTCTTACATCGATGACACAATGGTTTCGGACGAGGAGCAGCTGTCACCACCTCCAGAGAATCAAGATGACATGCGACGGTTATCTATGGATACGGATACAGACGAGGCCGTGCCACGGTCTGACCTTGACGACTCGCAGGACGGTGTCACGATACCGCCTGAACCTCCTGGCAAGTGTCCCAAGGAGTTGCAAGAGACCATTGCAAAATTCTACAGTCGCATGCAAACTGACGGCCTGGACATGAACAAAATTATTCAAGATAAAAAAAACTTCCGGAACCCCAGCATTTATGAGAAATTGATACAATTTTGTGACATTAATGAATTGGACACAAATTATCCGCCAGAAATATATGATCCTTTAAAATGGGGTAAAGAGTCATACTATGAAGAGTTGGCGCGAGTGCAGAAACTTGAGATGGATCGACGAGAGAAGGAGAAGAAAGAGAAATTAGCTAAAATAGATTTTATCACTGGAGTGAAGAAACCAGAGAGTGATGATGAGAAGAAGAGGAAATCTAAGTGGGATCAGGCAGCACCGAATGTGGGTGCTAAACCTACAATCAAACAACCAGGGCTTCTGCAGCAGCCACTTACTAGCAGTGCCACAGGGACTAAAGGCACAGTCATTTCTGCTTTTGGATCTCTACCCAAAAAACCTAAAATATGACATTAATACTTTTTATTGACTTACAAATAAATGGACGTCGGGTCCGCACTAAAAAGTGTCCGAACTTACAGGGCGTTAAAATCGTATACAGAGCGTCAATCACGCTGTAGTCTTCGTTTGTTCGACTGACAGCACACTTGTCAATGATGCTGTATTGTGTGGTAAAACCTTGTAAAAATTACTCAACTAAAGTGAAATAACAGGATGGTATATCATATTGTCAGTAAGTACTACATTGTGTTATCATAGTTATCATTTAAAAGTGTTATTTTAAGCACTAGTATATATAGTATTTAATTTATATGTAAATTAATCGTAAATAGAAATTACAAAGCAATCAAACCAATCAAATAGCTAACTGTCTCTTTCCGACTCATTCCTTGCGTAAAAGACTGAATGAGACCCATCACCTCAATTTCAATTGTTTGAAACACAAGCGTTTGAAATATTTAGAACAAAAATTTCATAGAGTCGCTTTGATGCTAATGTTATTATTAAAATATTTTTTAATACATGTTAGTAATACTTTCAAATAGTGTTGTACTCTTTCTATGGCTCGGGGTTACGAATCAGAAGACCGAAAATACATTTGCCCGAAATAACGTTTGTATGAACATCCATATTTCCGAAAGTATTTTTTTAGGTTTTTGGGAGAAATATGTGTATGGCCTACATTTATTTCTCTCGTGAGTTTGGGTGCAATTTGTGGTTGTCTATATGTGTGTCCATGGCACCCGCGACACAGGGTTTCCCTAATGCGGGGCAATGTTGAGTGTGTGAGTTATTATAATTATTATTATTAATTAGTACCTAAGTGTTTATTTTGGAAAGCGTTTCTCATGCGCAATCAATCTCACAACGGCAAATACCTACTATACTACCGTCATAGTCTTACTTTTTCAAGCATAAGAAACATTTGCAAGAACTATGAGCAGTACGACTATGCCTGTTGACGGAATCAACCATTGTCAGTGATAAACCGTAATAATTATATTGAATCAATGTAAGCACTACGGCATATCGAAAAATGGTGACGTTTTTGAGCGCAGTATAAATTCAGTACTATGCACGAACGGGTTAAGAAAATGGTAAGAAAAGAAAGGACACCAGAGCTGATGCAAGCTTGATGAAAGACCATAATATTAAAGCTTTGGTATGTGATTACATCAATGAGTGAACCGTGCATAGAAAGGAGAGAATACAGGAATTTATCCAGGAAACATAGCTTGAACATAAGAAGAAAGTAACAAGTATTAACAGAGAACATCTTACGCCGCCAAAATGCATTAAAAATCAAAAGTTGGATGAATGACAAAATATCATACCTTAAGAAACAAAGAAGGTAATTGAAGCAGACTGATAGTGCAAATTAAATAGGATTTTTTTTTAAAGTTTAGGCAATTTGTAGCTTTCACATGCAAACAATGCATAATAATACAAATAGTACAACCTTGATAGCCTAACGGTTTGCACTGCACTGGGCACTGGATGAGAAGTTCCCGGGTTCGATACCGGTAGGATCAACTTAACAAATTAACTTTTCTAAATGGTTCTGGTCTTGGTATTCTATTGTAAGACAATCACCTGGTCTGAAACTAAGGAACTCTCTGAACATACTTCCCATGAGTAGCAGAGTAACAGAATCCCAGAGCAGAACCAATTTACAAAAGTTCATTTCCCAAATTAGTTCTACTGGGAATTAAACCTGGGACAACGAACGATGGAATTTGTTCCGGGGCATAACTCAGAACACCCAGGCTAGAACAACTTAGAAAAGTTCAAATTTAGTTTATAGTTGATTGAGCTGATTTTTTACGGTTTTAAAAAAAAATCTCGATTTACTCGAGAAATCGGGTACGAGAATTCTATCTATTCTGACTACTCCATTATACCTGTGTTCAAGTAGTTTTCACTAGAAGCTACATATGGTGCATTTTGATAAGTTTCCAGTAGAAGCTGAATATGGTGTTTTTTGCGCCTTTCAATTGTTGCAAGCAAAATTAGGCAGTACTGCAATGAGATTACAATTTAAATTCAACGTTTTAGCTTTTTCATATTCCTTTACATGTCACTACGTTTAAATAGGTTGACTTGGGACATTTTTTTCGTGGTTTTTGTATTAGACCCGTCGTCCATTTATTTGTAAGTCAATGCATTAATAATTCTATTTCCATGGCTAAGTAGTATTTTAAGAAATAGTATTAAATTATAAAACACTTATTTAATCAAAGGTTGTCATTGAGTCCGTTGTTCTCCACGTTTTCAGGTTCTGTACTCAAACTAGGTATCCTTAATTATAGTTTCACCATGCCCGTCTGTCTGCCCGCCATTGGACCAAAGATTCTCATTGCCTAGAATGACTTTGTTCTTGGCTTTTCACGACTAGAATTACAGTCATTGTCATTGTTTATAACTTTTTCCAAATTGTGAAACCTATAAAATAAAAAGGAAATTTAGATTGACTTTGAATAGTTTGAATATACTCTTTTCAAATGACACTACTTTGTGCCAACACTTTAAGGATGGAAAAAACCAACACCAAGTGAAATAGTCCATTGACGGGCTGAAGAAGAGCTGTGTGAGCTTTTTGCTTAGACTATGGTTTCCACCCTCTAAGGCTTTTTGTAATAAGGATGTTTTTTATTCACTGACACTGGCGATGATTGCCATAATTTTTGTATTATTCATAAAAAACTGATACTGGCACAAGCCTAGTGGCCACCATAAAGGAAATAATAATAAGGTTAAGAAACAGACAGCAAAAAAATCAAAGATATTATTGAGATAAACCGAGATGGAAATATGATAAACTAAAATTGGAAGGAATTATGTACCATATATTAGAAATTGTATGAATAAGTACTTAATTGTCTATAACGCAAGCTCGTGTCATATTGACTTCACGGTTTCGTCCGTTGCGTGTTTGTGTTCAGAGAAAGCAGTCGAAAAAATTGAATTTAAACACATAAATTTATCCTCATTTTCTTAACCCTGGGCAATTTCCACCAGATGTAAAAAAATGTTCGAAATTCAAATAAATAAGATGTCCGCCATACAAATTTCAAAATCTTCTATAACGGAAACTATTAGCGATAGGTACGAGGTGCTCGAAGAAATGTCTTATTATATAACACCGCGTTTACACTATCGTGCTGGCTATGCACGAATGTTTTGTCGAAACAATCGAAGAAACATTTGTGTCGAGTGGTTGAAAACGGTGTTGGGCAAAATTTAATTGTTCTGGCAATTAAAGATTGACAATTGCGAAACAGCAATTAACGATTGATCAATTGTTAGTTGCGATAATTAAATTAAATTAATTGTTAATTGCGGTTCTCGCAACTGACAATGATCAATCGTTAATCACGTATATCTACAATTAACAATTAATCAATTTTCAATCTTTTCAAAATTTTTGATTAACAATTAAAACTGATAATTATGATAAATTTATATGGGGATGGGTTAGGGTTTGGGTTGGGGGGGACAGGGGTGAGTTTGGGAGTGGGTTAGGTTAGGTAATCTATAAAGATTTTTTTTAAATATTTTTTTTCCGGGTGGAAGGAAAATATTTATTATTCAGGGTTCTTGAATATGCGTTTTCTATGTGTTTCTTTATTTATCTATAAAGATTTCCCCCATTAAAAAAAAAGGGGGTGGGTTGGGGGTGTGTTAGGGGGTGAGGGATTCGGTCACTCATACGCTCACCCACGCCCTAACCCACTCCCTAATCCACCGCCGAACCCACCCCCTAACTCACTTACACGCTCACCCACCCCCTAATCCACCTTTTTTTTTGAGGAGGGGGAAATCTTTATGGATACCCCTGAGCCCAGGGAGACTCAGGGGTTATGTGGGGACTCTCCCTCCAGACTGGAGGGCCCACTAAAACCCCCCCGGGTTTCGGGATCGGTGAACATTCACCACGACGCCGCCCGACCGCCCTAGCTTGCGCCAGGGCTCCCGCGCCAACGGAGGGGCGAGTCGGTTGTCCTCCGACCCGCCCCCCAGATGAGTGAGGCCGTGCAATCCAGGCTCCGGAGTCCCTGTCCAGAGCCCGCTGGCCTCACTAGGGGTTCACCCCCCCTAACCCACCTAGCCCAAGTAAGGTTAATAGTTCTCGTATTCGAATGATTTCAATGATCATTCATTACTAATAATTAGTACTAATCCATAGATTCCATAGAGCATTTCTGCTCGTGATCATCTAGCCCTCTCTGATATATGATAAACACTGTAAATGTGACGGGTACAGAGATATTTTGTGGCATGGACGTGATGAATGAGGTGTTCCGATGTAATAATCAATCGACTCGTGCACCCGACCGAATGGCAGGGGCATTCGGTAGTTAATCATTCGACTGGAGTCTAATGGTTGTGCTTGGATTCGACTTCGCGAATGATTTGCCCATTCGAATGATTAGTATTAGTAACATTCAAAGTCGCGCATCGCTACTCTGACTAGTATATAGTAAACTGTGAGCATTATTGAGCACGTTATAAGCATGATATGACAATTATAATTACCAATATCACAGAAAAACCCAAAAGACCAAAACACTTGACAGCAAGAAATGTCAACCTAGCAAAAAATAAAACGACAAACGTCAGAGCTAAAATAAAATCGTTCATTGCCCGTGGTCCAACTGCGTAGTCCAACTACCAGTCCAGGACCAGGGGCAAAAAACTTAACGTGACTGTGAACTGTGACCCTTCTGGAAACGGTCTTGTAGTGTGACATTCGATTAATTTTAAATCGATTCTCTACTGATAAAATACATATTCATATAATTACCGGTAACGGTAAATATAATTTAGAACAACACTAGCAAATCAAATACGCAGTTTTCTTTCTTTGTTTGCGTGTGAGTGATTAATTTGAAGTTGATGCTGTGACGCAGGAAACATATTCGTGTTTTGATAATACTGTATTTTGTTTACATCGCATTGGGCAATGGCTGAAGCGCCGCCTAGCGAGCCAATGCCCTGCTCCAGTGAGAGCACGGAGCCCATGCTGGAAACGGAGGCCGCCGACACAAAAGATGACGAGGGCCCATCTGCTAAGAAGCGTAAAATGATCTCGGAGAGAGAGACCTCGGACAAACTTGAGCACAGACTGGGAGGAATTTTGTGCTGCGCCGTGTGCCTGGACCTGCCCCAGGCGGCCGTCTACCAGGTATTCTTAAAACAGCTGATATTGTCACGCGCTCATCAGCTGTTTTGCCAAATATTTTCACTGGCTTTCATTACGTAAGAGCGTGAATATCTCGGGTCGCGGTTGCGAAACACGTCGTCGTGCCGACGCCTACACGACGATTGTTTATCAGTGAGCATTCGAGTCTCAAACTTAAGGCGTCACTTTTTCACTTTACTATAATACTCTTTTGTTATGTATAACGTAGAGCGCGAGCTTACCTGTGTTGAGCGCCCTATATCGTGGCTATTATTAGTCTCCACTGTACCAGCTGTGTTCATAAATCACAATTGAATTGGCCAATGTATGGATGTACACAGAAACAGGTCAGCAGGATGTTGACTTATTTCTGTGTACCTACCTTGTTTATTACTGTGATAGTGTAAAGCTATGGATGTAGCTGTATTGTTAAGAGGCTGTGATATTGTAAGGATGTATTGCAACTAGTGTATGATTTAGCAAACAATTTGTGTATCACTCTTGTAACATTTCACTTCAATAAAGAAATGTATGAGAGATTTAGTTCTTTGTTTATTCAGAAATCCCTAAATCAAACCCTATCCTAAGTGTAGCACAAGTCCTTTTAATAGTATTCATATATAAATTGGAAATGCATTGCTTTTATTAAAAAATGGCAGTTGACAATTGAGGTTTACATTTAACAACTAGCTTATTTTAACATCTTGTAATTTTAATTAATTAAAAATTCACATACATGGTTATTTTGTACATATAATACAGAACATATTATTATGCAAGTATAGACAACACTGCCTAGTTGATTATTTTTCTTATCTTACACAAACATTTCTTGAGTTCTTGTTATTCTTCATGCAGTAAAGAAAATTGTGTAATGTAATTATATTACATTTTGGTTACATATTGTTTAAATTTTGTTTTCCTTGATATTTATTGTGC